TACATTGACATTTTTTTCTGACAAACCATTAGGCACATCTTTTCAAATTATTAATGCCTATATGCCTTGTTCAGATACCTGCCTGGTGATGGTGTTCAGCATTTGGATTGCTTCAACACCAATGTTGAAGCAAGGGCTTCATAAATAAATGAATTATAGATTCTATTTTTTAAGAGATAGAGCTAGTTTACATTTAAATAGTTTTGCATACAAAGCAAAAGAACTAAGCAGACAATAGTGGCAGATTAGATACTCAATTCGTAATAGTTTTTTTCCCCAATTTAAATCACGTCATGATTCACCCACATACATATAATATGGCCGCCGTACCCTTCCCTACGATAAGTAAAAACAAGACTTTAAAAAGCTGTGTTCAGCCTTTATTTTACCACAGAGAGATTAAAAGGCTTTATTTACTTTAAAACCATTCTGTCTGCAGATATTCCATTTTGAAAGCAAGCAATAGCTTCCTGAGCCTAATCTTTGTTAATTAGCCAACTATAAATAGCAAACTCACAAGAGGATCTGAACTTTTCCAGAGTATCTCAAAGCAAATCCCACTGAAAAAACATAAAGCATTTTTATATGAATACCAGTAAGGCAATTTTCTACTGATATGGCAAGCTATCGGGCAACAGAAGTTTCATATTTCCGTATAGTGCAGTAAACACAAGGAAGAAAGTGAGAAAATGTAAGTTAAGAAGGTATTTGTTCAAATACACAATCATTCTCTGGTCAAAAATAATTTTTAAAATGTCCTAATCTATATTAACACATCAGATTTTTTTAAATTAGATTGTTAGAATATACACCAAATATACTGTTCACGATTTATAATGGCTATTTTCTTTTTTATTCTTCATTCAAAATTGACAATGACATTAGACAGGTAAATTCTGGTTCTTCTGCCCTAGCAAAATGCTACCATGTTGCATTTTCAAATACAGGCAGTCCCCGGGTTACGTACAAGATAGGGACTGTAGGTTTGTTCTTAAATTGAATCTGTATGTAAGTCGGAACTGGCATCCAGATTCAGCTGCTGCTGAAACTGATCAGTTTCAACAGCGGCTGAATCTGGACACCAGTTCCACTTACATACAGATTCAACTTAAGAACCCCAGGCGTCCCCAAGTTAGCTGCTGCTGAAACTGATCAGCAGCTGATTCCAGGAAGCCCAGGGCAGAGCAACTCTGCCTCGGGCTTCCTGTAGTCAGCCGCTTTATTTTGATTCAAAAACACTGAAATGATTCTGAAATGAAATGTTTACCTCCGAATGACAGCCGTGACACTAAACAGAAAACAAATATCATTTTGAAAGAAATTTTTGGCACAAATATTTTTTCTTTAATTTCATTTTCATTTTAATTAGATGGTTTTGGGAGCATTAACTTTTAAAATAAATCTTGCTAACTATACAAACAAAGCATTGTTTCAAAATGAAACATCAAACATTGTTTTGGAAATGTCAACATAGAGCATCTTGACTTATTCAACTTGTTTTTTAATTGGTTATAACTATTTACGTAACTAGCTCAAATTTGTAAATACATGCAGTCCCTGAGTTACGCGGATCCGACTTACGTCGGATCTGCAGTTACGAACGGGGTTTGCTCCCCGTCTCCTTGGTCTGCTGGTCTCCAGCAGACCAGGGAGATGGGGAGCAAAGCCGCGGAGCACGCGGGCAGCAGACAGCCCAGACGCGCCGCGGCTTTGCTCCGTTCCGGGGTCCTCCTCCGCTTTGCTCCCCGTCTCCCTGGTCTGCTGGCTCCCCCAGCAGACCAGGGAGACGGGGAGCAGCTTTTCTTGCCCCGGAGGAGGCGGGCGGTGGGACCAGGCGTCCCGCCGCTCCAGTCCTCCGGGGCGAGAAATCCCCATTCGTAACTGTGGATCCGACATAAGTCGGATCCGCGTAACTCGGGGACTGCCTGTACTACCGAAGAATTATCACATCAAATCAAAAAGCTATTATTGAAATTTAAAAAAAAACACTTGGTAATGGCAGATTTTGTAAGAATTTTTGAGAGCTAACTTATGTGACAGTGATCCTTTAAGCATGATTCGCTAGAATGAACAACAAAATTTCTCAGGTCAATAAAAATAACTTGACATTCGTTTTTCAGAAAATGTGTTATTTCATATTTCTGATAATCAACTAACTAAATACAGCCATCACTTTAAAGTATTATGCTTGCCACTTTAAAAGCAAATCAGAAAGCTCTTCCTATAGTTTTTAATTTAACTTTTGAAAAATCAGTTGCAGCATTTTGTAAACTTAAAATAGGAAATGAAAAAAACCAACTTTGGCAAATGGTAAATTCAATCATCATATACTGATTTTTATGGGGTGACTACTACATCTATGCAACAGGAAAGTTTACTAAGGCTCTGATTTCACAATTATTCCATGCATTAAACTCAATGATTTCAGCAGAATTTCCATTGCCAGAGCAGCTACAAAACTGGATACTTAATGCTGCACCACTGAACAATGTCCCCTCTAATTTTTTTTTCATCCATGTGTGGAACAAATTTTATTATGTGCACTGAGGCATGTACACATACTGCCGGCTGTGGGCACCCTGCTAATCACCTGGGCACCATTGAATCTGTCCTGGGTAGCCACCCAAGCACTCAGTTTACTGATAACACTGCCACTGAAGTCTATAGAAGCTTTGCCATTGACTTCAGTGGACAAGGGGAAAAGCCCAGAGTTCCTAAAAATGGAACAACCCTGCTAATCTTTAAAAAGCAAAATATAATTTATATAAGTACTAAACTGTAAACATTATTTTTCGTTGCTCCTGGAGCAAGACAACCTACAAAGTACCAATACACCATGTTCAGTGTATCTTAATGACAATCTGACAGGTAATCATACCTAAATTCAACTAATGAAGTACTGTAATTAAAAGGGTTTCTAAACCATCATTCAGTGTGCTCTTAGCTGCAAGAGAATATCAGATTGAGACCATGAATTAGAATATAATTAAAACAATTTAGCTGAAAAGCAAAAAGGAACTCTTGCAATCTTCTTTCTATTTAAAGAACTGCAGACATTTGTTTTCCACATGAGAGGAGCTTTACGCTGAGAATACTGTGACTGCACCTGGATTCTGCAGTGAATAGTTACCCTACCTTGACCAGAAAATCATGACACAAGACAGAAGCAAGCTTCTGTTTATTTTAGAGGGCAACGCCCCAGAGGAAACACATGCAGCAGAGACATAAAAGTGTAATGACATCTTCCTCAGTGAGTGTATCTGTACATCCCTCCAGTTAGCAGCCTTGACATTCAATGTTTTTAGAATGACCATACATTCAGCACACCTGAATAAGTCAAACACTAACTCTCACACTCATTCAACAAAGGGAACAGTTTTAGCTTTGATGATTCACAGCTCTGAGCACAAAGACAATCTTAAAAATTCTAGTTTACCTTTAGCTGTCCTTTCCTCTAAGATTGCCACCCCTCCAGGATTGTCCTGGAGTCTCCTCGAATTAAAGATTAACATTTGATTCAAGATTACATCATGTAATGAAGCCTCCGGGAAGGCATCCAAACAAAACCGGCAACCAACTTTCTCCAGGTATGAAATATATATGTTATCAAAGCTTAAAAAACAAACAAAAAAATGTATTGAGTGGCTTGCCAGGACAAATGGCAATTATGCATGAGTGGCTGAATCCACTGCTCTTTTTACAGGAGGGGAATGGATTTAGAAGCAGAAGCCTTTTGATCAGTGAAGGCATTAGAAATGGAGTGGAGGAAAGCTATACAGACTCAGAAGGCAAACACTAGCAGTAGTGGCACCAGCAGCCATGTTCTATATTGCAAACATTCACAATATATAGATGGAAGTACAGATTGAACCTCTCAAGTCTGGCATCCTCAGGACTTGACTAGTGTTAAATCAGAGAATTTGCCCACCAAAATTGTGGTGACTGGGTCTCTATTTTTATTTTCACAGAGGTGAATAAATGAAATGTTTGCAATGCTGCTTAATAATGTATGGTTGTACTGATACATCCTATGTAAGCTTATGTCTAGCCAAGGCGTTATCAGCCCTCTTCATAACAAAGTATTAGTGTTGTTACACAATTTTACTGTATTGGCACAAGGAAATAAGCAGATAAAGCATAAAAACCATGCTAATGCTTAGCAGCATTACCAACACTTCCACTGCTTGCTAGGAACGTAGAAGACATTTGGGGTGAATTAGAGCTAAATCACAGCACAGAACACTGAGAGCCAGAACGGGTGGTTGTAAACAAACTTTATGGGATCACAGGAAACTAGCCACACGCATGATAATCCGGACCACTGAAATCATGTCAGACTATGGATGTTGCTGGAGCAGAGAGGTTCAATCTGTACAAGGGGGGAGGAGAAGGGTGGATAAATTTGCAGAGAGGGCAAATATCTGCCCAAGTAGAATGAATGAGTGGCTTTTTGGGTGTAGAAGCACATGTGTATTCCTTCCAGGCTACTAGGCAATGGTATATGTTTTTCAAGCCTGGATAATTACATTTTAGATAGAAAAGGATTGGAAACCTCTTGCATAAATAATTTGCTGTGTACTCTTAACATCGGGTAGGTTATTATGATGAAAGGATTTTTAAATGGGGTTTAAACATCCTAGAAATCAACACAGAAGTGGAGTTACTTCTGTTACTGGACTAAGAACTTGCACTCTCACCAACAGTAGTTGGACCAATACAAAAATATTACCTCCCCCACCTTGTCTCTCTAATAAAACAGAATATCAAGCAATAAAATAGTGTAACTGAATCCTCCTATGAGATATGGACTTCCTGTTGTAACAATACCAGTGATGAAAATTGTGGCTGACTCACATTATGACTGCCAAATGTTTCCAAGAGAAAATATGGAAATTTGTCTCAAACAATTGCAACAAGAATCAAATTAAGTGAAGGTTGACAGCTCTAGTTAACCTGAACATGAAATAATGACCTATGGTGGATTTCCCCATCCCCCTTACCTCAAGCATAGGCCTAGCACTGTCATGGATTGACAGAATGTGTGTAACATTATTCTTGCTCAGTTGCTCTGCATCTCTAGCATCTGTGGTAGGGGGAAAAAAAGATTATTTTTTTAAGTTTCTCTTAAAAAGCTGCTCTTCATTCTCTCACACATGTTGAAAATCATTATCATCTGTGAATTTCTTCTAAAAACAACATATTCAAAAAGAGGGGAAGGGGAAAAGTTAACTCCAAAGCAAATCATATACTATATAAGAACAGACTTAAGAAAACATCCCTGATTTATTAAGTGTTTCACATATTTTGCATCTGAAAATTGAGTGTGTGTGTCACACATATACCTCACATGTGTGCAGAAAATAGACATGCAATAAATGCAATTTATGGCAGGACTCTGAAACTGATCATACACCTTTGATTGTGTCACCTATTCTCTGTCCACTAATACCGCATTTGGATTTAGTCTTTCAATTTATACCCTGTAGCACTAACTATCTTCAAAATTGCCATTGTTGTTTAATGTCAATTATATTACTTGTATACAGCATGTCAAAAATGGGGTATGATTTGTTTGAGATGACCGACAAAACTGTAGCAAAGGGATGGGGGAAAAGGTTATGATTTGTGTTTTATTTTCCAATCTCTCTCCTGCAAAAAAAGTTTTGTAAAAATTCACAAGATTTCCATTAGCTCTACAAGAAGCAGAATAACATGGGAGGAAGGAAAATGTACACAATTTAATCAATTTTTGAAGTCTGAGATTTCTTATTACTTCAAGCAGCTCCACTCATGAGCAAAACTAGCCATCCCAACAAAATCTTTACAGAATAGGCCTCATCATGTATTCTCTATGCATTATACACAAACACACACAGTGTATACTAAAAGAAATAATATAATCTTGTCCCAAGATGTTTAAAACAAGATTAAAAGTTTAATAGTCATCAGTGAGGAGTGAATCTGTGTTTTAAAAAAAAAAAAAAAAAAAGGACAGACCATTGCCACTTCAGCTATTAGAGTACTGTTAGCTACTAGTAATACTGGGTTCTTATTCTGTGTGAACTAACCACTACAGAGGGGCATAGAATCTGTTTCCAGAGTGTAACATACCATCCCTGCTGTAGTCATTTTAAATTTGGCCACTGGTTATAAAGAGATTTAATAAGTTCCAACATGGAAAAGGTACCAAAACACATTTAAATCAAGTTACATAAGAAATGTAAAAAAAAACAACACTGTACCAAGTACAGGCAGTCCCCGACTTATGTCGGATCCGCACTTACGAACGGGGCTTTTCTCGCCCCGGAGCTCACGGGCGGCGGGACCGCCCAGAGCGCAGCGGTCCCGCCACCGCGTCCTCTGGGGCGAGAAAAGCTGCTCCAGGCCTCCCTGATGTGCTGGGGGGGACTCCCCAGCACAGCAGGGAGACCCGAGCAAAGCCGCACAGGGAGACCCGAGCAAAGCCTGTGCTGGGAGACAGGAGCAAAGCCGCAGAGGCGGCAGGACCTCTGCACCTCCGCAGCTTTGCTCGGGTCTCCCTGGTCTGCTGGGGGGGGAAGGGGCGCAGCTAGTGCGCCCCCCTCCCCCAGCAGACCAGGCTTTTGTTGCGGGACGCCTGGGGTAGAGCAGCTGGGGTGCTGCCGGGTTGGTCCTGCGGGGACCTACCCGGCAGTGCCCCAGCTGTTCTGTCCCAGGAGTCCAGATTCAGCCGCTGTTGAAACTGATCAGTGGCTGATTCCAGGAAGCCGGGGGCAGAGCAACTCTGCCTAGGGCTTCCTGTAGTCAGCCGCTGATCAGTTTCAGCAGTGGCTGAATCTGGAGCCAGTTCCGACTTGCATACAAATTCAACTTAAGAACAAACCTATAGTCCCTATCTTGTACGTAACCCGGGGACTGCCTGTAAATCTGATTGTAAAGCATTTTGTTAAGTAAATTTGAGGAAGACATTTTCCCAAAGTGAATTTTAATCTTAGACTCTGAATTCTAGGCACATGAGTATTCAGAATTAAAGTCAGGTGCTCAGATTTAGGATGCAGGCAAAGACCTGAAAATTTTATTTTAAAGATCTGAGATTTGACTATTTCTATATGAATGGAGTTAAAATAAAGATCCCTGGAGACTGAAATGTTATGTAGCTGCAGTGTAATTTCCCTCCATTGGCCCACCACAAGATCAGGAGGGAGGACCCCCTGGGGTCAAAGTTCAGTCTGTGTTAATCTTGAATGAAAAAGCCTACCATATATGTTGATTACGATAGTGTTCTTTGTGATGTGGACACCTGTCTTAAAACTAGCCTATACAATCAGTTTGTGTTAGCATGGTTATACAGATTTAAAAAAGCACAGACCACAAAGGTTTCAAATCGGCTCTTCCTCAGTACAAAAATAACAACAATATCACCTGTACACTCTTTATGTACGTGCAAAAGATCAATCTGCATTTCTTAATGCAAGTCATTACTCTCTATTATGAAGTTTCAATACCCTTTTTAAGTCAGAAAGCAGAAGGTGGCATTTAATCATATGGTCCAATAAAAAAATGCTGAGTATCTGAGCACAAGAGAAGAAAGTTAACAAGGTTGTACCTGATTATGAAAAATACTAATGAAATATTAAGACCTTAACAGCTCGAAAAACCAGAGGAAAATCAAAACTGTCTAGAATCACCTACTCTGATTACAGTGTACAATTACAGTCCAACACGTACAATTACAGTGTATGTGTTTATTCATTTGGATTCCTGTGCTACCATTTCAGGCAGAATCCACCATGAATTACCTTAAAAACTTTATATTCTCTTCATAACAAAAAGTGAGCATTTCCAAAGATAACTATGAGATTTACTGTCGTAAACACTGTAACTTGCTTGACATTCAGAGGAACAGCGTTGTTAATAATATTAAGTGCATCCTTGATTATTCTGAGGTCTCGGAGACCACCTGTAAAGTCAAGGCTTTGGAAAGCGTCAGAGCTGGGCTTTAATGTCATTATTGTGTGCCCTCCAAATATAGAGTAGCATACTTCAGGGCCATCTAGCTGGAACAGTCAATATTACTTTTATGAAGATAGCACTTCCTAGTGGCTAGGACACTGGCTTGGGAAACAGGAGATGTGATTTGGCCACTGATCTAAATGTAGCCTCGATCAAGTCACTTCATCACTACGTGTCTTTGTTTCTCCCCATAGTCGTTAGCTGCCTTGTCAATTTAGTAAACTTTTCAACACAGAAATTGGATGTTATTATGCATTTGTACAATGCCTCTCATAGCTGAGCTCTAATCACAATCAATGGTAGAGTAAATATATTATAATTTAAGAGAATGCTAATGACTCAGGAGAAATGGTGCTCCAGGTTCCCAAAGCCCTTGCAAGTGAAGCAGCCTTTAACACACGTTGACTGGCTAATGGTGTCATTCAGAAGACACCCTTGCAACGTTTTAGTGCTTCAGTCAAGTCAATAAAAATCAATGCTGTATAGTGAGACACTGTTTTTGAATGTTCATAGGAGAATCACACAAAGATCCTGAATCTGCATACCAATATCAACGAAGTGGGTGAGGTAGTATCTTTTCCAGCATCCACCTCATCTCTCAAATGCTCTGGAACCAATACAGCTACAGCACTACAAACACTGCCTAGATAAACAGCCGTTCACAGTACACAATTCAAAAAGAACACAAAATATACAGAGGAGGAAAAAACACAGTCCCTGGTTTGGAAGTTATTGAAGTCTCTAAACCCAGGGAATAGATAACTTAGAGAGGAGGAATTCCCTGGCTTCTCCCCACTGAAAATCTCTGCTAGAAGTGACAAGATTTAGAAGTTGTCCTCAGTAGCTATACATATTAACTATCTTGTTGCTCACAATATTTCTGTGTAGCAGAGATGTATGTTCAATTTCGTATCTAAAACTGTTACATTAAGGAACCAAAAAACAAGAACATTCAATGCTAAAACTGTAATTCTGACTAACTCTTTAGCATATCACTATAGTATTGCACCATGCAAACCAGGCTGATGTTTCAAAGTCACAGTGTAAGAGGCCCTATCTCAGAAATCAGAACTGAGAGAAATCTATTAAAGTCACAGCTAGCTTATCCCTGTAGTTGATGGGGGAGGAACCGGCCGCAGCCAGCCCCGCAGCTTAATGGAGACAACTGGCTGGCTGCGGGACCAGGCTCCAATGTAGATAGCAACACCATCCCTGGGGGTGGAGTGTGAGCGACCTGTCTGCCTCCCCACCCTTCTGTGCCCTGATTTGCCTAGCTCTCAACCCAGGAACCCCATCCCCGATCCCTGCGCGCACGCGCACACGCACACAGCGCCCTGATTTCCCTTCCCCGGTCCCTGGCTCTGGGGATTGACTTGTGCCAGATCTGCTGTACCCTGACTGGGCAGGCAGCAGGCACCCCATCAGCTTCTCCTAGCCTGGCTCTGCAGGGAGCAAGTGTATCCAGGAGGATGGGGGACAGAACAAGTGATGGGGGAGGGGACAGGCCAGAGCCTTGGGGTAAGGGACAAGGCATGGGTGTTCAGTTTTCAGGGATTAGGAAGTTGGAAACCCTAGTTTTCAGAGGCACTGAACACCCACAGCTCTCAGTTAGGAATGCTTCCCACCTCATCTCACTCCCCATGGTTCTGCAGGAGATCCATCGTTTCAACCATACTGTCCAATGATGTCATAGAACAAATTGAGTACCTAGGTAAAAAAACTTCCACCCTTCCAGCTCTCAAAGCTTGAAATTCCTGTACATAAACATGTTCAAACTTCTAAGTAGTTCCATTGTAAAGGAGTGACGAGGATCTAATTAGTTGGCTAAAGACAGTGCTCTTGAACTAGAGCCCTGCAAGACTAGGATACTGCAAGACCTGCACCCATAATAGTGGAACTGTGATTAATTGGGGGGATATAATATTCTTTTCTGGACATTCCAGGCATTCAGTTAACTAAAGTCTTCTCAGTAGTTAACTCTTGAGAGCTAGCCCTAATTGTCTTGCCTATAAGGGTTAAAATCATAAACAGTGGATTCTAGAAAGTCCCCAGGAATGCTAGGGAAGCAGGAAGTGAGTTGGCAGAATGCCA